ATATTTGGAGAAAACACAGAAGCTGTTAGCCCCACTAGATGGATCAAACCAGGAAATCAACTCCACAGGATGTCTACAATTTCACTGAGATTGACTATAATAGCAGAACCTTGCAAGTCTGATTGTGCAGTTCCTCCTCCTCCTCCTCCTCCTCACAGTTCAGTGAAGTAGAGCTGATTCTGAATGTTATCTGGCTGTTTGGGACTTTAAAACGTTTCAGACCCTTTTGCTTAGGTAACAGTTCTTGCATATTTCCATCAAGCTCATCTTCCTTACTCTCTACAGAAGCTGCAATGGTCCAAAATGTGCTGCTGATGAATCAGTCCTACTATTTCAGGGCAGCACCACTTCTAATATTTTTGCACTGGTTACCAGTAGGCTTCCAAAACCAACTTACCAGACCATCTGCTTGTCTAGTAAGAACATCTAAAGAGGGTTTGCTGAAAGTTCCCCATTCTTGAAAGGTTAGGTGGGTATGGCCTTTTCTAGGCGACAGGCCTTTTCTGTGGTGGGCTCCATGCTTTAAAGCTCTTTTGTTCTGGAGGTTTGGGAGGCCCCCTCTCTCTTGCTGTTCTGGGAGGCAGATAAAACAATCCTATTCTATCCCACTGATTGTTTAATGACATCCATCTTGGGGTGAGTCAATTGATATGGAATGCTGTTTGTATGTGGTTATGCCATCCACATTCTCTGGACTGGAGTGAGTTACAAAAACTATACATCATATAATGCTAATGTGGATTGCAATGGTGGGAATTTGGCACAAATATAGAGCAATTCTGTCCTTAGTTCTGTTCAGTTTAAATTCATAAAGGGAAAAGCAAGAGTATCTCTGCTCCATAAACCTATTAGGTGCATGTTCAAAGACTCTTGGCAATTTCTAGGTGTACAGCAAATTTCAATCTTCTCAAAATCACATGTATCTGGGCAAGACTAGGTTAAATTCTTTTCCCTCCCTGAATTCACATTGTGCTCTTGATGAGTTGACTATACATATGCAAGGAAAACACCACCACTTTGAGTCTCGGTCTCCCAAAGGGGAGGTTTCTGCTCAGGGGATGCTTCTGTTGATGGAAGTAAGGGGAGGTCATTTTTACTTATTTTCCTTTTTTAATGCTCTCTGAAAAAGCATGCAAAGTGAAACTGAGAAGTGCAAGGAGAAGACGATACCAGGAAACAGCCTCTCTTTCTTGGATTGGAACCCTTTCTGAGAATTAAAGGACTGCTCAGAGTTAGGGGCAGGGAAAACAGATGGGGCTAGATCAGTGTTTCTCAATGGTGGCAACTTTACGATGCGTGGACTTCAACTCCCAGAATTCCCCAGCCAGCATTCTGGGAG